AGTGCAGATGCACTCCCTTCCTATACCCTTAGAGCTTCTGCCACCTCAGTAGGAGAAAAGGAGAGAGAAAAGGGAATCACCAGGAGCAGTGCAGGGAGTTTTGGTGTTCTGCTTGTCAGAGTGACCCTATCCTTTCCACTTGCCTGGAAATAGCGGATGAAGAAGATGTGCTGGGGCTTTCCCATATAAAGCTATTGCTGCGCATCTCAGTGCTGTCTCTGGCTCAGGAGGGGGTTGTAGCACACAGTGTAAGTAGATCCTTGCCCTTGTGGCTGCACAGAGACTTCCTTTCTTCTCCCCATTTCCTTTCCTCAGCCATACAGGTCGCAATGCATCGCTGCGCTTCGCTCGCACCGCTCTTGCTTTAAATCCTATCTTTTCCTTTTCCATTGCCATCTGAAATCAGAACAGAGCTGCTGGGAACAGCCCATTTATGGACAGGCAAGCCAGAGCTGCCATGAGCAAAGGCATACGGGAATAAGGACTCAGGCAGATGCAGGAATGGAAACTAATTTTAGTTATTCCATTGCAAGCTCATCACACTGTCATTGTCACACTCTTCTTTATCTCCCATCTCGCACCCAACAGCTACCTCATGCCACAGCTATCTCCCGACAGGGACCATTGTGGGGCAGTTTTGTAGGAATTTCAAACCTGGATTGTGGAAAACCGGAGGTCACATGCTGTGCTGGAGATCAGCACTCCCCTTCCTCCCTGGAATGGCACATATGCCTGTGGTGTCCTGATTAGAGAGAAGCCTTGAACGGAACCATTTACACAGCTTTTGAAGGGGGTTTCAGGTCTGCCCACTATGAAGTTAACGATTTCTCAACAGGACGTGTTGCTGTTGATCCAATTGGAATGCTGAGATTCAATTGGAATGCTGAGGTTCAATTGGAATGCTGAGAATCAATCAGAATGTTGAGATTTAGTCCAAATGTTAAGGTTCAATCCAAGCACTGTGGTACAGGTGTCTGATACTTCCTTACAGTGAAAAAATACGGGCTTATTTCAGACTGATCTCAGTGGGTTTGAGCACTGATTGACATCACTAAAGGTGCTCCTGTTCTTCCATTAAAACACATCCTTTTCTTTATTATTAATGTTATTTATGGGCAAAGACACTCTTGTGGCTGAGTGACAGCTCTCTGTCTCAGATAGAAAAGACTCAAGCTTGACATTTTCTTTCTCAAAGGCTTTAGCACCGAAACAAAGCTTCCCTTGTGCTAGAATACAAATAGCAGGTATGATACAGGATATGAGCTAGGATATAGTATAGTTTCTTGTGGTGAAGCAGAATGCTGCATCTTGAGTTCTGGGAATCGAGATGCTATTGCTGGCTCTGCTATTAAAGTCCTCTGCTACCCTGGGCAGGTCATTTGATAGATTTTCTTCTCTTTTCTTCAGTCTCACCTGCCCTAAGTATGAGGATTTGGAGCTGCAGCTTGAAGATCAATGAGAAGTGTGCCCCAAAGCCCCTGGTGTGGGTCCTTCCTCAGTGACATTCAAAATGAAGTGTTCTCCCCTTTGCATTCCAGCCACAGTTTTAGTTGTGATCCTTATGTTCACATAGAAATGAGCAGGACAGGCAAAATCCTGATATCCTTTCCCCCTCCAATAGATTATTTATTATTTGAATATATTTTCAAGGAGTGTTGTCTTTTTGGTAATGCCTCTGTATTTAAGCCAAGAACAATTCCGTTTTCCTCTACCATTACCTCTTTGCACTTGCTCAGTGGTGTTTCTGAGAGGCTGTTTAAACAGAATCCATCAAAAACAACCAGAGGAAAAGGGGGGGAAGAAAGGAACAAATAAAAAAGGCAAACTTTTTCATGATTTAAGAAAAGCCCAAGATGTGATAACAATCTAACATTAAAATCTCAATTAAATCAGTGAAGGTGTACACGAACCAAGCTCCACCTGAGTTTACACACGACGTTATAGCTAACTGGCAAACTTCCTTTCTATTCACTGAGCCCTATTCATGTTCAGGAAGCTGAGGCATTTCCTCCTGGGAAAGGTTCACCATCCCAGTCTGGGTGTGTTAGTGAAAGCAGGTGTTCCTCCATCCCAGAAACCAGGCTAAGGAAGGGTGAGGATGCTTCCAAATCCCTTCGCATTCCTTCTCCCCACTTCCTCTCACCCAGAGGAGCATCACACCCTTTCCATCTTGTATATCGTCGACCTTGACACTTCGTAAAGCCCTGCTTTGCTTCCCAGCCTTTCAGCACCAAGCTTGCTTCACACATTCCTGCTCCAACCCGTGCTCTTCTGCTGCCTCTTGACAGAAGAAGCCGTGGAGGCATCGGCTTGGAGGAAGTTGTGGGGTGCCTGAGATTAGAGGCTATTTTGGAGCCCCACCAGCTTCAGGACTGACCCTTTCTGTTCCCAGGAGCTGCTGCACTCATGGTCCTGTCCCACTGCTTAGTGCTGGTGGTATGAAAGGCCCCTCTTTGCTCTCTGGGCTGATTTTCCCCCTTCAGTCCTTGCTGTGGTATAGGAATGGAGAGTGTCCAACCCGTAGTGCCACCTCCGGCTCTGATAGGGAGGATGAAACATCCATTAAACAGTCCTCTGTAGGTGCTGAGTGTTGTTCCCAAACACTGGCAGGTTCAGTGCAAAGGTTTAGGCTCTCATTGGTTCTGTTCCACCACATACAGCTGTAGATTAACAGGGGAAATGAGCACAAACTTCCTAGGACTGAGAGCCAAGAGCCTCGTGCATCACTAAGGAAATGGGGTCACTCTTTATGCTACAGATTTAAGAAGAATTAAAATGATGCTTCTCAATATTCCCTCTCCAGCTACTACAGGTAATGCATTTAACATAGATTTGTTGAGAGCAGTTTCCTTTCTCTAATACTTACTGTGTGTATGAATAAAGGTGACATGAAATAAAACCCTTCTGTGAAACAACTAAATTTGGGAGAGGGGGGAATATGTGTGTGAAATTCATCAACCTCCAACCTAAGGAAGCAGGAAGCTGCTTCTGTAGCAGATGTACTCTATGGGTATTCCTCATCTGGCCAGTTCCCAGCAGGGTCTGAATGGAGTAAATTAGAGGACTGAGCAGAACTGGGTCTGTGTATAACCCAGAGGCTGCGTGGCCCTGCAGGATGCTATTGTTCAAGGAGTTATCAAAATGAGAGCGGAAACGCAAAGACAGTTGGAATGTCTGAGCAGGAATTGTGTTCCTAATGAGCCTCTGGATCAAGATGACATTTGTGGGGTAGGAAATTCGTGTTGGATTCCTGCGCACATCCTACTTTTTACATACTGATATCTGCAGGGTGTGAAATTACAGATTCATAGAGAGTCTGTCTGGATGTAGCAGAGCTTAGAGGGGTCACTGAGCCCAGTCTCTGCTCCAAGGCAGCGCTGGGGCTGTGTATGTCACTGCTGGAGCAGGAATGCTGTTGGTTCGCACCCAGCAGGCTAAGTTTTAAGTGCCAGGAAAGTGGAGTGAACCTGAAAAGCTCCTCTGGCTCTAGAGCTGTTCATCTAAATTAACACAGAGGTGAGTTAGAAACTCGTCTAGAAATCTCAGAGCCTCACAAATGCTGAAGGAACCCTTTTAAACTCAAACCCATCAGCCCTAAATCTCATAGAAACCCCCAAAATCTCAGAGGGGAGACGTGTAATACCATAGACCCCAGTGCTTGCCAACTCTGCAAGGCATATTGGTGAGCTCTTGCCTGTACAAGCCATTATTGGTACTTGTCTGAGAAAGAAAACCTGGTATGAGCAAGGACTTGAGGATAAGGCCATGTCTGTGAGTGATGAGAAGCTTCAGCATGTGCTGCCCTCAAGCAAGCAGTAGCTTTTCCAATGTGCTTCTCCCTTTCATTTAACATCATCTGCATATAGATACATGAAACCAGCACATTCTGAAATGGATATTGAAGCATTAAGCAAAGGAAACCACTTCTCCAGGTATTATTGCTCTCATGACAAATCTCCTACCTCCACGGCTGGAAGGGACAAGCCATCCTGAAGACTTTCCCTTATAGGAGCCAGTATTACACTACATGGAAGAGTTAAGGCTAAGCATTTTCTCATGGTTTTAATGTTAATCTCACTTCCTATGGCGTAAGGACCTTAGTTCTGCATGGCCAGGTGATGAATCACCACCAAAACAAGCTCATGCTTTTCTTTTCAAGTTAATGAACAGAATTGACCTGAACTTGACTCTAGAGCTTCCCCAAGTTTTCTGTGCTCAGCTCTGGAATGCCACAATATTCCAGGATGAGACTTTCATAAGGATTTATAGATAAACTTGCACAGATAACCATGAACTTCACAGTGAGGTCTGAATTAATCTTCTTATGCTCAAATATCTGTTTCTAATGTAGTGTATCGATAACAGGGACCTTGATAAAGTACTTGGCTTCTATTGTCAAGTTCCCCATGCTCAGAAGAAGAAAAGTTGAATAAAACAACTAAAAGGTCATGCCAATGTCTGGCTCCATGGCAACAATCCATGAATTTTCACAAAGATACTGATATTTAAAGCAAAAAATAGAGGATGAATTTAAACCATGGCTTGGGTATCATTCTCATTAAGTTTGATGGATCTGTGTCCATTTGTGCCACTAATAGATTTGGGCTATTGAAAAGGGAAGAGAGTTGCACAGATGGAGTAACAAATCTAGGGATGTGCTTAGCCATAATGGCAAAGGCTGAGCTCTGGCCCTGCTGCCAAAACAAAGGTGCATTTAAAAACCTCTATGAAGATCCAGAACACTGGAATGGACCATGTTATACAAGGACCAGACACATGTTTGCATGCACAGTGCTCCTATCTTGTGGAAATTCCCATGCTAAAGCAAAAAGCCCACTAAATAACTGTAGCACATCTCTCTGGCAAAATCACTTCCACGTTGAGCCTCTGAGCTGTTTGAACTGAAGCGAAAGTCAGAGTAGTCCAATGGTCTTTGTGTATTTTCAAGAGCTTTTAGATACAGCACTGCCAAAGAGGTGAAATCAGGGATAACTGCAACCTGCCAAGTCACACAGATGAAGAAGGAAGGAGTTTCTGAACCCATTGCAAATGCTTCAGCTCTCTCTCTGTTTATGAGCATCTGTATGGCACTGAGCACTGAGCCCTCGTATCCAACTGATGCTGATGTTCAGCTCAGGGAAGAGTGGTTTATAGCAAAAATAAACCCTGCAAAAGAACTAACAAAACCTTTAGCACTAAACCGTGGTGCCAGTGCACTGCATGGTGCCTGTATAAAGGAAAATGAAGTCCCAGCTTTACAGGCCATGCTCCTGGCTGGCATCTGATGGCTGTTCAAAGGGCTCTTTCTAACAAAGCCATTGCAAAGCTTTATAGCTGTGATGAGAGAAACTCTCCCCACTCATCTCCCTCGTCTTGCTCCTCTGCATTCAGGGCCTTGTACCTCCAGTATTGTGGTGGCACCTAGAGCTCCTCTCCTTATGTACAGGCAAAGAGGAATGGAGCTTTTCCTTACTTCTGTAAGCGTAATGTAAAGACTTAGCTCTGAAATCATAGAAACATGGAATAGTTAGGAGATGGGTTTGTAAAGGGCAGAGCTGTTACCTTCAGGGAGCAACTGCATGAAATGGGTGCGTTAGGATGGAGACTCTATAGAACTCCCGTGTTAGCTCAAACCATGCGTGGATGGGAGCTGTTGGTGCTCGGCAGTCGGCTCCCAGAGGCAGGGAGAAAGGGCAGCTCCTCTCTGAGAAGAAACTTGTCCTATCTCGGCGTGTCCTAGCGCAGAATGTTTACAAAACCCTCATTAAGGGAAAGGGGATTGCGAGATAGCAACAAATCTGGTGGACAGCTTACAGGGCCCGAGATAAGAGAGGCAGGGCGACCACAGAGAGAGCAAGCCATATCCAATTACCGAGACCTGCTTTTGGGGAGGGGGAAGGGGGAGACAGGCAGGACGGATCACAAGCTTCAAGACAAGAGCTTCCAAACTTGTCATCCCTCCGTGACACGAGCACAGGGGATAAAACCGCCACTTAGCCCACACGAGAGCTAGAGCTTGTTGAGTGCGGTTGGAGGCTCCAGCGAAGCCATGGATTCTCTAGTCCCCCAGCTATGGGCTGCCCTTTGTCTCTTGGTTCACCTCGCTGCTTGCAGTCCCATCCTGAGCTTGGAGCACTCTTCCTTGGAGGAAGACGTGCCGCTTTTCGACGAGATCCTCTCCGAGCAGGATGGCGTTGATTTCAACACGCTGCTTCAGAACATGAAGAACGAGTTCCTCAAGACCTTGAACCTCTCTGACATTCCCCTGCACGAATCGGCCAAGGTGGATCCGCCGGAGTACATGCTCGAGCTGTACAACAGGTTTGCCACTGATAGGACATCTATGCCGTCCGCCAATATCATTAGGAGCTTCAAAAATGAAGGTAAGAAATGTGCAATCCCTAAGAGAAAGAAATAGAAATGAGCATCTTTATAGTAGGTGTGAAATGTGTTCACCAGGCATGGAACATGAACCGTATTAGGGTGAAAAAGGCCTTTCAATGAGGATAGCATTGGGAATAGGCACCAGGGTTACCAGATCCCACTCCTTGTGACATAGATCCCTTGTCTTTCACTTTTTGGACTGGAAGGTTTTGGAGGAAGGTGTTTGTTTCATGTTTGGGCAGCACCAGGTATAATGTAAGGGCATCAGTTCCATTATCCCCATAGTGACGCCCATCATTTGCAATTACATGATATCAAACGGATACCTTAAATAATGTTTTCAAAGGTGCAATATTTTCCTATGAAATGGTTTTACACATTGTTCAAAGGTGCAATATTTTCCTATGAAATGGTTTTACACACTGTTCAAAAGAGCAGTATTTTCCTAAAAACACACAAAGTGCAATATTTTCCTATGAAATGGTTTTACACACTGTTCAAAAGTGCAGTATTTTCCATGAAATGGTTTTCACACTGTCAAAAGTGCTATCCTATGAAATGGTTTTACACACTGTTCAAGGTATTCCAAAAGTACATGCAAAAGGCATATTTTCCTATGAAATGGTTTTACACACTGTTCAAAAGAGCAGTATTTTCCTATGAAATGGTTTTACACACTGTTCAAAGGTGCAATATTTTCCTATGAAATGGTTTTACACACTGCTCAAAAGTGCAGTATTTTCCTATGAAATGGTTTTACACACTGTTCAAAGGTGCAATATTTTCCTATGAAATGGTTTTATACACTGTTCAAAAGAGCAGTATTTTCCTATTATGAGCTTAACCAAATGAAGTTTTCTATGAATATCCTCTCACTATTGATCCTCATGGGATTTGTAACATCTTCCTTTGGCATCTGAGCACAGATACATAGAAATATGTGAAGCAGAACTTCGGATGACCCTTAGGTTTTACTTTGGAAGAGTAGAATTTTTCCTATTATAAGAAAAGGAAGCCTGATTGTGACTTGTTTCTGCTTCAGCATTTCCTCTCAGCTCAATGAGGACAAGAGAACATTTCAGTGCTAACACTCCACAGTTTGTCAATCCCTATTTGCACCAATACAGGTTTTCTGTTAATGATGTGTTTCAACTAAACCCCAAATACCAATCACTCCACTGGGCAAACACGAATGCTGTGATTTGATTTAACTACTCAGGGGCAGACGTAGCTATTCAAACTGCTGAGGGGCTTCTCTCATCCTTTCTTAGCCTAACTGATGAGGTATAAAGTTGTTATTACTCTTCCTATAGCATTTGCCACTTGAAGCTATGACCTGTAGGGAGAGGCTACGTGCAAGTCACTTCAGTGGCGCGATGCAGTGAGGTGCAAGGAGAGAATCCAAAAGCTCTGCTCTGCCCTTCTGCCAGGCCTGGGCATGCTTTACCAGCAGCCTGCTTCTGGTTTAAATGTGGTTTAAACCTTCTTTACGTATTCTTTTCTCCAGTGTGGAGAAATCTATTAAAGGGTTGGTGGCAAAGCACTTAACACCCACTGGGGAGCAGTTACTCACCCGAACCGCCCTGCCTGTCACCGCTCATTGGTATGAATGAAGACATGTAGGAACGTGCATTGTTCTTTTCCCATTTTGCACTAGCCATAAAAAAAAAACAGGATAAAAATGGTCCAGTACAAGGTGCTAAAACATAAACTACAGCACGGTTTAGTGACGCAAAGCATCATCCCATTGGCAAAATCAGGTTTGCAGCTCTGGAAAGGGACAGACTGACGTTTTGTAGTGGTTCACAGTTCTGTGCCATGCTGTAGCCGTCATTTGGCTTCACTCTCTGTCATGTCAGTATTTCTGTCCCCTTCTCCAATGCAAACCAGCAAGACGTGAAGTGAGACAGATGGCTGATGTTAAGACAGCTTCATAGAAGCAGCCGGTTAAAGGGACTATGCATGTTTGTTACATATCTTCAGAGTCTGGGTAACCAGGAGCCATCCATTTCATGCTAAAGATTGGGAAATTAATCACTTGCAATGATAAAGGCAGTAGAAACAGACCATGGAGCATTTTTGTTCACCTGCCTGCTGAAAATTGGCAGTAATGGTGCTTCCATTATCCATTAAATCCCTTATTATAGAGCTATAACACACTGCACGGCTGGCATCAGCTCTTTGTTTAACCCATGGCCTGTAATGTCTCCATTCTAAATGAGACTAATCAGTTCTTAAAACTTGAATAAAGGTCTTGAGGGAAATCTTTTATTTCCTATGGACTCCAGAGCTCTCTTCCTAATTCTACCAGGGAGGCACTGGGAGCAGTAGGAGATACTTCACCCTATGGACTTCCTAGCTAAAGATCAGAGTCACATCCTGACTTAGAATTGAGCACTTCTCATGCCCTGCTAGCACCCACCTGTCTTCTTACACATAATGTGGCTTTCTACTGCCTTATGGTGAGCTTCTTGTGCTTGCCTATACGATCAGGAGGCATTTCTCCACCCTGTCATTATAGGTACTCATTGCAGACTTACTGTAGCATAGCAAGGTCTAGAAAACCCCAGAGGTTACCTCCAGTACGGTGATTACAGCTAAGCTTGAACAGCATTGTCTCAGCTCATGGTCTGCTCCTACCCTGGTGCTGTGCAAAGCATCTCCAGCACCGACCTTTACCAACTGACTTGTAGGGAAGTGCAAGCAGAATCACCCTTCATTTATGAACAGACGGCAGTGCAGAGGTGCCTCAAGCAGGACAATGCTAAAGTCAACTGCTTCAATGCACTAATGGAGCATGGCCAATCTTGCAGCATTATCAGCATCACTTTTCTACAAATATACCAAAATTGGAGAAGTCAAAGGTGAAGATGAACAGTTTGCCTTTGCAGAAATGTTACCATAGTTTCTATGCCCTGATCTGTCTCCTGAGTTAGAAGCAAACAGCACAGTAACTCAGCAGCATATACACAGGCTCTAGAAATTAGAAACCTGGAGAGGGGCTTGGGACAAGGGCCTGTAGGGACAGCCCAAGGGGAATGGCTTGAACCTGCCCAAGGGGAGACTGAGCTGAGCTCTTAGGCAGAAGCTCTTCCCTGTGAGGGTGCTGAGGCGCTGGTGGTGCCCAGAGAAGCTGTGGCTGCCCCATCCCTGGCAGTGCTCAAGGCCAGGTTGGACACAGGGGCTTGGAGCAAGCTGCTCTATTGGAAGGGGTCCCTGGCTGCGGAACTGGATGAGCTTTAAGGTCCCTTCCAAAGCAAACCATTCCAGGGTTCTATGATGAGCTGATTCCTGCATGGTGTGAAGAAACGCATACTGCTTGTGTATAAACAAACAGTGCAGGTAGAGCATGGACAGACATTACACGCTTATATGTCAAAAGTGCCCAGTTGAGTACAACTGTTTGACTGCTCTCTTGAAGCCCATTGAGGCTGTGGCAGGATTTGTGCTGACTGGTGTTTCAAATGGGATGTTCACCACCTGCTCTTCCTAACCAGGAACCTTTGCATCTTCCAGAGCAACTTTTCCTCCCTTAGCGCTTGTCCCTCTCAGTTTCTGAGGGCTGTTTCAGCAGATGGGAATACTTGCTAGCATAAACATGCTGAGCAGACACAGATCCAGCCTGCTGGTCTTGCATGAGCGGTTTATAGGTCACCCATCTCATGTTCATGCCATATCCTTCTTCCCTTCCTGTTCTACAGCAACGGTTTTCCCCATTTAAAATAGTTGCTGTGCAGTGACCTTGAAGCAATTTGTATTTCAGTATTAGGCAATGCATCCTTAATCCATAATGGTTCCAGGTGATGAGGAAGTGCCTGGAAGGCAAGGGGATAGAACTCGAATCTCTAAATCCAGGTTTATGCTCTCTAGCATGGTTGGGATCTTGCTGTCTTTACATAGCTAAAAGGAAGTCAGCCTTTTTCCCAAGTCTTATTTTGGGAAAGGGTAAAATCCACTCTCCTGGAATTAGTTAAAACCAAGCCATGCAAAAGGTATCAACTGAACTTCGGTGCGTGTGTTGCTGGATGCATTTATGACCCTTCATAAATATTTGATCTTTGTCATTTCCAGACTTGGCCTCCCACCCTATCGGTGTCACAGGAATTCGGAAGTACCCTCTTCTGTTCAATGTTTCCATCCCTCACCATGAAGAGATCACCATGGCAGAGCTGCGGCTCTACACCTTGGTGGAACGGGACCAGATGCTCTACGATGGGCTCGACCGGAAAGTCACCATTTTTGAAGTGCTGGAAAATGACCACCTGGGGGTAGGAGAAGAGAGGAAGATAATGGCACTGGCATCCAGGCACATCTATGGCACGAGCAGCGAGTGGGAGAGCTTCGACGTGACCGAAGCCATCAGGCGCTGGCGAAGGGCAGGGTTGACCACGCACCGGCTGGAGGTTCATATAGAGAGCAGGGAAGGGGAGGAGCAGAACGGAGAAGGGAAGCTCGACATCGACATCAACTCCGAGGCGAAGCACGTGCCCCTGTTGATTGTGTTCTCTGATGACCAAAGCAATGACAAGAAAGAGGAGAAGCAAGAGCTGAACGAGATGATAGACCACGAGCAGCTCCTGGACTTGGAGAACCTGGAGGTTGGCAACTTCCATGGCCAGCCCGGGGAGGAAGCGCTGCTCCAGATGCGCTCCAACATCATTTACGACTCCACTGCCCGAATCCGGAGGAACGCAAAAGGCAACTACTGCAAAAAGACTCCACTCTACATCGATTTCAAGGAAATAGGCTGGGATTCCTGGATCATTGCCCCAGCGGGATACGAAGCTTACGAGTGCCATGGAGTGTGCGCCTACCCCTTAACAGAGCACGTCACGCCAACGAAACACGCCATTGTCCAGACTTTGGTTCACCTGAAGAATCCCCAGAAAGCCTCCAAGGCCTGCTGTGTGCCCACCAAACTCGATCCCATCTCTATCCTCTATTTAGATGCAGGGGTGGTCACCTACAAGTTCAAATACGAAGGCATGGTGGTATCAGAGTGTGGCTGCAGATAGTAGAGGGGAGCACAATCAGAGGGGAGTGCACAGTGGGGAGTATTTAATGATTCAGTCTGTAAATTTGTACATTTTGGATTTCCTATTTAATAAGGTTATTTAATGAGGCATGTACAGATAATTGTGTGTTTCCTGGTAGGGGAATGGGCAAGTTGTGACCGTAGGGAATGTATATTTTGTTCCATTGCTTCTTGCTGTTCTTCACTGTCCACGTTATGGCTGCATCTCACTTCCTGGCAGGGCATAGAGCAGATCACGGGGTTGTCTGGGAGGTTCCTTGTGCCAAAGGGGCACGTGCAAGTTCACAGAAATAAAAACATATTTTTGTACTTAATAAATGCTGATTGGTATCGAGAGGGACTTCCAGAGCTATTAAAGGTCATAGAGTAGAATCATGGAATCAGGTGGGTTGGAAAAGACCTCTAAGATCATCCAGTCCATCCATCCCCCAGCACTGCCAAGGCAACCACTAACCCATGTCAATAAGGGCCTCATCGACATGGTTTGGGAATTGAACCCAGGATAAGATCTCAAGTCCCAGTAATTCTCAAGCTCCTAAACCCCAAAGGCACAAAAAGGTGTTAAACTTCTCTCATTTTTTCTTAAGCATCTTTAATCTCTCCCTGTCTCATTGAGACTGGCAGGGATGCTCTGGTATCTGGAGCAGAAGAGAACCATTCACTTTCCCATCTTTCCTGGTGGAGGAATGGGCCCCATAGGTTTGTGCAGTGCTCTGACAAGCAATGGCAGAATTCCCTTGTGAGTGGTTATTACAGAAGCCCCCTGTGTAAAGTACTGGCTTTGGTGCACTATCCATGTCCTGTCTCCAGAGCAGAAATAACTGCAGCAAACTTTCTGAATCCTTGAAACTGTACCAGTTTATACCAGCTAAGAAACCGGTCCCTCTTCCCAACCCAGCAAACCACATCCAATACAGCTCCGTAACCCAATTCACATGGCCAAGTAGGATTGCATTTAGTCTTCATAGAGCTAGATAGAAGAGGAAACCCCTTTGTGCCATCTAGATAGAGAGGATCTTTCCTTTATGTATGTGCTGACGTTGTTGATTCATAAAGATATTGCCCCCCCTTAAACTCCATAGGATGGAGTCACATGCCATGTTTCCACCGCTCTTCTGCAACCCGTGGTGGTGATAAGGAGGTGTCGGAGCTCAGAAACAATAGACCCGTCACTTTATTTATACTAAGCTGCAAATTTGTCAGATTCTTGGGGAAGTGCAAGTGACGCTGACTCCTCTGGCCTGTCCCAGAGCCCACTCCCTGCCCTGCATCTGGTGCTCACTTGTAAGGGAAAGCTATCTTCCCCTGAAGTGATAAGGCTCTTTGAAAGCATCACTCGAGCGCTTCATGGGAATGAACACAAATGACTTTATCGTGCACCAACTAAAAGGCAGTTTCACCTATTTTCACACATACTCTTCTGTGCTTCCCATAATTTATTGACCTATTTATTGACTGCCTGCCTTTGTAACATAATGTAGAATACAGAATGTTTTATTTTTGTGCTTGTGTGTAATCCTACTTGGATAAAGCCTTGTACCAATCCTGTTTTACATGGAATCTTTCTGTTGAGATGTGCTGCACAGACATGGGTGTTGCTAATCTTTTTTCTCCTCTAGATATTCATAATCACCATGTAGCAGTTCTCTTCCTTGCTTATGGAGTGGTTCACTCACTGCAGTGATTTATAATGGCATTCCGGAGCACTTGTCCAACATAGAAGAGCTCTAGCAGGGGTATCACTGCTCTAAGTGGTCAGTGATGTAGTTTATTGTAGACTTCCACAGTCTCCACTCGTGCTGCCTGTTTCCCGATAGCAGGATTGCTGTGGGGCTGTATTGCTTTATGGCTGTGACAGCCTGTGAGTGACTGACACTGTCACAGAGCCTTCCCCACTGCAATCAGCCTGTGCTTAATGGCACGTTAAAGGAATTCGTTAGAGGTGTGATGTTTCGCTCTGCTGACATGAACTGCAGCAGCCAACGGTTGAAGTGCGACCACACAGCTCCTTTCAAAACTATCCATGATTCTTATGAAGCCATTTGCCAAGACAAACCATTCACCTTGTTAGGAGTGATAATCCAGCATTAGGGAGATAATCCGACATTGCCTTTTATCATCTCTTTTCTGCGACCGGCCCCGTGGCAGTGATGTGAGCAGAGTGCTCTTTGCACCACTGTCCTTTACTGAACAGTGCCAATCTGCCTGAAGAGGCCCTAAGAATCATCAATAACCCACTGTAATCACCTATAATCACTGTTCCCATTCAAGTGACCAAAGCAGAGTGGCTGCTTTCACACTCTCTTAAAGCCAGATTTGTGTAATGGAGTAGATACAGTGCATTAGGGCACCCAAAGGTTGGTAGGCATGTAGTGTTAGCAGTTAGCAAACCTGCAGGTGTGAATTGATACAAGATCAGTAAAAACAGCAGGGCTGGTTTTCTAGAATTAGGGCTCAGACAGCGTTTTTATATTAATATTAGTGACTTTTTCTAAAGAAACAAGGACTGTGCTGATGACTGAAGGGGACTTCAGACAGAGCTTGGGGTGAAAACTGTAAAGCATGAGACATCCCCAGTTGTGCTGTTCTGGGTGAGAACTGAGCATCTCTTGAATCAACTGCACTTATGCTGTTCATAACCTGAAAGTAGAACTGCTGTGAATGGTATTTTGTGTGTCTGTTAGCGTTGCATGCTTGCTTTATGAGCAAACCCTTACCTTACCTTACCTTTGAATATCATTACACAGACATTTGCTGGCTGTTCCTGCAGTTAGATGGCAGAGACGAGGCAAAATAGCACCAAAACCAAATGGGAGGAGTTATTTTGTAGAGCTTTGCCTAAGCAACAAACGAAGGTTGGTTCTACAAGCTCAGGAGTGTCTGTCCATGTAGATACAACACTCACAAAGAACATGGTGAGTGCGTGACAAGAGCCAGTGTTGCCAAGATGTAGTGCTGGGAATGTCAGAAGTCCTGGAATAAATATCCCACTGCGTGTTTTCATTTCCTTCCCTTCCTTCCTTCTATCCATCTACATTGGTACTGTGACTATTTCTAAAGCAAATGATTTTTCACATTAAATAGTAGCATGCATTGATCTTCCTTTCATTTCTAATCTATTTTCTATCAACATGCCAGCAGTTGCTTGACTTCAATCTTGAAAGCACAAAACAATTTTAGAGAGGTCTGGAAAAATATGGCTTCAGTATGGAAGTATCTATCCATCCATCTATCCATCTATCCATCCATCCACCCATCCACCCACTCATCCATCCATCCATCCATATCCATCCATCCATCCATCCACCCACCCCTCTGTCCGTCTCTGGTTTATTTCATGCCACTAAAGGAGGCACCAACCCCATCTCACCAAAATCAGCATCACTTGGATTTTTGCTTTCATCTGTTTCTAACTGAAGATGTATAAAAAGCATGAGCAGATCTGGAGCCCCTTTTTGCTATATGAAACCCCAGGCAGTGCGAATGGGACAGGCAGAGGGGTGGGAGCAGAAACAATTGAGACAAGGAGAGGACGAGGTGGATAACACATCAGTAAGGGGGTTGAGGGGAGAGCTTTGGTCTTGCATTGTTGCTCTTAAACCAACACCACACACAATGTCTCCAGAAGAGCATGAACTTCAAGACACGTTGCTCCTTGCTTGGCATTTGAAGCTGTATCTTCTCCTGTGCAAAACTCAGCACCAATCCCAGATTTCACAAGGCACTTGCAAGTCTGAGGTTCCCATAAATGATCCACATCTCTTAGCTCTCTGGACATGGACTAGAATTCCTCAAACAGATTTCTCCCCAGAGTTTTATGCCTTGCTTGGGTGTGATCCCAGGGCTCCAGGCTCACCCTGCAGAGCTGACTGAGGTACAGATTCCTGCCTTGTTGAGTGTTAGAGCTTTTCCTGCCACCACTGCAGATGGGCTGCTGGGGAGAAGGGGCAGAACCTTGCACTGTTCTGGCAGCAAAGCCCAGCACCCAGATCCCTGCAGTGCCTGCTGCTGGCTTGTGCCACCCTTTGGAGGTGCCCAAATAAGAGTCCTTAAGGAAAAAGAAAGCATTCCTGGGTGCTGTGGACACATAACCTCTTGCGAACCCAGTGGGTGTGCAAAGCCAAAGAGCCAAAGGCATGAGGTTCAGCCTCCCCAAACCTGAGGTCACTTAGGAAAACCACTTCCCAAAGCAACCATCATCCAAAACCTATGGCCAGCTTCTCCTCACTGCCCTTCTTAACCAGACAGCAAAGCAGAGCAGAGCCTGCAGCAGCCTAGAACAAGAGAAAGCTCCTGCATCAACATCCTCAGAGCCTGGCTCACCTACAGTTCCATTCAGCGTTTGCTGTGCATCATATTGAGCCAAATGCAGCAAAATCTGTCTCTTTTTAGGGGGGTTAAAAAAGCAAAGAGAAAGGAAGAGTTCTGGCACTTGAACATCTGCTGCAAGCGTTTGAAAAACTACAGCCCAGTGTTAATTTAAACTTCCTTAGAAGCCAGTTCAACGTTTGGAGTGCAAACACCGTTAATAGGATGGGAACTGGGGTGCTGGTGCTTTGCTTACTATATTGGGAAACAAAGCCAGGACAAAACTAGCTGGAGATAGAGGTTTGTTTATACTGCTGACCCATCTGTCTTCATTAACGCTCTATTTACAGGAAAAGCCAAAGAATGAGCTTCTGCTCCTGCTTCAATTGCAACAGCGACAAAGAAAGGCAGAATGGTTCAACTAAAAATGGAAATTCTTATCAGCACCCCTTGGAAGAGGAGGTTTATTATATGGAGTGTGTTAGTGTTGGGTATTAGAGCTGGGGCTGGGCAGTGTGGCCAGAGCTGTGTGCTCCTAGCACAGGCAGCATTGGAGTGCAGAGTGCTCAGGGAGGTGCCTATGGAGCAGAAAACAGAAACCAGCCACATAACGGGAGCTGGGTCCTACCCTAAGCTCCTGCTTTGAGGTCTAAGGGAGAAATGAAGTGAGTTTTCTCCTGTATAGACCCACACAGGGTAATGGGGTGTGAAAAGGGACACATTTGAGGCTACACCTTGGCATGGCATAGAATCATAGTCAACCAGGTTGGAAAAGACCTTTAAGGTAATCAAGTCCAACCCAAGCTGTCTCTGGCACTGACACCAGATAAGGAGGAGACCCCTTTGTCTTATCTACAAGGGACAACACTTGAATGCCTACAGTTTAGATGCCTAAATGGGAACAGATGGAAGGCACCCCAATGGTGTCTACCCTGACTGTCCTGTTAAGCACATCTGGAACCCAAAGAGGACTGGAGTTTATGGCTTAGCACCCCCAGTGAAAACAGTGTCAAACCTATGCTGTGCACATGAACTTCAAATCATCATCTCAGGAAGCAGAAAAAGCTGAGTTTTGCCCTCGCAGCCCACTGAGCTAGAGATACCCCTTCAAAATCAAACCCATACTCTCCTTCTGCAAACCGTAACACCAGTCATCTCCAAGGGCAGGTCTATCAGAGCTAGCATCTCATTTGCACATCCCACTACAGGGGCAGGCTTCCAAATGACCTCAGCACCCACATTCTGGGAACAGATGTGGCTGCTAAGCACCATGTCTTGCTTTCCTTCACCCCTCATCCCTGCCTTGCTCTCCTTCATCCCTCTATCTCTCTCCCTTCACTTTTGCTCAGGGAGGGCAGCTTGGTTTTGAATCTCTGCAAGCCATTCCCCAGGGAGCAGGAATAGAAGCACATCTTTTTCCTGCCCCATTCCCACAGAAGCAGCGCACTGGGGGAACATAAGGATGTTGGAAGCAGTAGAAGGAGCAGACATTAGAATTCCTGCCTCTTTTCCCTGATAAAAGTGGAGGGAAACATCCACCTTTTGATACCCTTGTCAAGAAGATGAATAGTGGATGGGGGTCCAGCTCTTCCTGCTGAAGTCTTGGTAACATCTCCAGCAGCAACTGAGGACATCCACATGCTGGTAAATGCCAGTTCACTCTCCTGCCTCTCACGGAGATGTCAGTCCAAGCAGGAGTTGAGCTAATGTTTAGTAGTGACAATCTCTGCTTCCAAGCCCATCTCAGCACACAGCATTCCTGGCCAAACCCATTAGGAGATAGCTGCATTATCCCAGCAATCTACTCTGTAGAGCAGAGAACACCAGAAAATGTAGGAGAGTTCTCTACCATGTGCACTGCAACACATCCTGCTCGGGGCAAATGAGCTTACCGTGAAATAGGAAGTTTGATTCCTTGTTTTACTCTGCCAGATACATGCCCAATGTGATTCCATCCACGATGCAAACTACTCAACCTCCTGCTTAGCATTTTGAGGGCTTAGGGGCACCTTTGATTGCATTTTTAAGTGAACAAAGGAAATATGAGGGATAAAAGCAATCGACATGGAAATGAAGGCTCTGAAAGGAGAGGAATGGGCTTCTGTACCTCACAGGAGATGCTGCCTGCCCTATCTGCAGCGACTTTAGGCTGAGGGGATGCTCACTGCAGCACTGGAGCTCCCCGGACAATGCCCTTCAGGCTTGTGTGGCTGAGGCTGTCCAGGATGTGAGCTTCAGATGGTGTTGAAAAGATACGTGTTGAGTTAAGTGAGAAGGTTTAAATACGGGGTGGTCTCTGCAATCAAGTACAGTAGCTCGCTAGCAACAGCAGCTAAACAACAGCCCAACCTTCCATAGCTCTCAGGTTTATGTTGGATTTGCTGTAGCAACTCCTTATCTGCCAGAGATTAGAGCTTTTTAAATCAGTTGTTGTGAGATTTGGTGGAATCCATTTCCTGAGCTGTCACCGCTGGCTAATCAGGCAAAGTCCAAAGGCAAAGCTTTGGGAGAGTGGGAAAGCCAAGCCAAGCCGTTGTCCTGCGGTACTGAATGTGCTGTATTTGCTTTATCACTACCAGAGTTTAGGTGCTCAGCTTAAGATACTGATACACAGGGAAGCCTACAGCCTGAAACAGGAGCCAGCTGAGCTGCAAGCACAGCAAGTGTCTTATTATAGGGGAAATGAGCCCTTTTCCCATTTCTACTAGCAGCTGTAGTTACTATTAGAATAGTATCTAGGTGATCACTCTTCACCAGACATATGAAATCCCAACCTCAGTTCCTTTAGGGGTTAAAATGGGAGAGGGGATCCATCAGAAGCTGAGACCCACACAATGAGGAGCCTAATCCTAATGGGCTGACCCAACTGTTGAAGCAGTTCCAGTGACTCGATTTGAGCTTACAGTAGCTGGTTGCTGTGAGACAGACACGGAGCATCCTGACATCATGCAAACACAACTTATGGATGTACCAAATCTGAAGTCACTCTAGCAGGGAAAGCAAGATGCACTTGAGCACAGCTGCTTCCCTTGCTGATCACCCTCCTTTTCCCTTGGGAGTTCTCCAGCTCGCATCATTTCTTGTTCTATCGCCCTCCGTTGCCGATGGAGGACTTACACCAGCCACAACAATATTGATGGCACGTCTCGTGCTTCCTCTGCCTGCCCCAATTAGTGCACTGGAGATAAGCAGCAGCAGGAGCAGCCGTGCCTGTGGGACACACGTCCTTCCTGAGGGGCTGCCACACGCATTCCTCCTGGATACTGCTCAGGGCACTGCAGGCAACGCTAATGAGCTCCAGGACAGGCAACGGATTTAACCAAGGGCCTCAGTGAGCTCCCCAGAGCTGATTAACCCTTGCTGCTGCTGCAAGAGGAAGAGAAGCTTAGAGACATGGAATCCCAGCCTGCTTTGGGTTGGAAGGGACCTTAAAGCTCCTCCAGCTCCAACTCCTGCCATGGGCAGGGACCCCTTCCACTGGAGCAGCTTGCTCCAAGCCCCTGTGTCCAACCTGGCCTTGAGCACTGCCAGGGATGGGGCAGCCACAGCTTCTCTGGGCACCCTGTGGAATGCAGCAGCCTTTGAGGACCCTGGTAGCACCTCTGTTAATCGATGAACTGCAGTTCTAGACATGCCCTTGGCTGTTCTATCCATAACCACCCCAATTTGGTAGCATTCTCTCATTCTTGCATCATTCTTCTCAAGGAAGAAACCAGCACCTTCACCACTGGTGTCAATGTTGTCAGCACTTCTGGCCTAAACCCTTTAGATTAAAGCTAATAAAAGGAAGGGTTATCTGGCAAGCCCAGAGATGAGTTAGCATCACATTTCTACCAGAGATTGGGGTCCAGGACTCCCAAGTCTTTGTCTGGCCCTGCTTTGGATGTGCCCTACAAATATCATCAAAGGCTTCATTACTTTGCATTGAGTTTTTGTGTTGAGGGCAAAAAACCATCTGTGCCCTCAATGGCTTGACTTTCATTGGGACAGAGGACTCATTGGTTTGGCTTGAATGGTGCTGCCAACTCCTTTGCCTTGACTGGCCTAGGCCCTGTAAGGCTTGAACTGCTTCAGGCTCCCCTTCCTGGGCTCCTTACTTCTTGGCGTGCAAGCTAAGACCAAAGCAACCATCATGCTGACCATCTGAGCCCTACACCAGTGTCCTAAGAAGCACTCTAGATGCAAACCACAGGAAGGCTCCATCCACACATTGGGATGGGTGTCAGGGTATGGGATTTCTTCACAAATGGAACAAAGACTCTGCTACCCTTTCAGTTTTAAAAGCCACCCTGCTTGCCGTTATCTCTGCATTTGAGTGAGCAGAAGCAGGGCAGAGTGGATGACAGCAATTTAATCTGTGGCTGCTTTTCCATGCCTTGTGCTATCCTTGACCCCAAGCCAATGCCCTTCCACTGCCAGCTAGGGGAAAGATCCAGTCTTATGGAGCTGATGAGTTTCTAAACATGCATCCCAGGTCTTCTGCAAACTGGAAGTGTGATTTGTCCCATTCTTCTTGACACTGGATAGGAGGAGGGCAGAAAGGGAGCAGGATATTCCCATTCTCTCAGCGGAAACATCCCTTAGAGTAGACATTTCAATTGACCTTTCACTCCTCAGCACTGCCTATAGCTGTTGTGTTGGGAACAACTGTCCTTGGGGTGCCCAGCTGACCTCCTGACTCCTTTTGGATTGGCATTTCCATAGAGTTCAGTGGTTAAAATGAGCACCTTATTTTTAGTGGTGTCAGAAACGTGGATGTATGCAAAGGGAACACTGGGCAGCACTGGAAAATCATCCTCCGAGCCCTAGGATGGGACACACAGGGTAAAGGTGCCACTGGAAAGACTCAAAAGCTGCGCTGGCCATAGAGATCCAGCATGGACCTCATCCAGAGCATGCAGAGAGCAGGGAGAGCCTCTCCGGCTGGATGGCAGCCTGGGCTGGCTCTTATCAGGGAGATGAGGAAGGAAACAAGGCAACACCTCTGGGAAAGGCAAGATTTACCCCTCACATGCTCAGGAAGCAGATGCCAAGCTGATGCTTATCCTCATTTCTTTAATAAGAGCCCAAAGCCTGGCCCCTGCTTCTAAAACACACTCATTTGGAAATAGCTCCCTGGATGCAGCAAAGAGCATCTTGGCCAGCTGATGAGATTAAAGGCACATTCCCTGCTCCCAGTTCCTGTTCTCGGCACATTGTGTTAAGAGGGTTGAAATATCACATCGTGTTTTTACATGTGATAAAGCAAATTTGCACCAGCCACACCAGTGGCTGCTGACGGCGCTAGGGACAGCACCACGCAGGGAGCACAGGGATGCCTTTTGGACAGGGATAGGCAGGGGAATGAATGGCATCTGGTGAAGCTTCCCTATAGGATGTTCAAGGCCAGGTTGGACACAGGGGCTTGGAGCAAGCTGCTATAATGGAAGGTGTCCCTGCCCATGGCAGGGGTTGGAGCTGGGTGGGCTTTAAGGTCCCTTCCAACCCAACACAATGGAAATTGCACTCACACTGCCCACCTGGCTGCTGGATTTACCTGGAATTGGAAGCTTTATTTATTAAGAAACCGCATTCCCAATGAACACTTGTGTTTATGGGAATTATCTTCTCAGAAAACCCCTGTAAAGGAGAACAGAGTGGACCTAGACCTAACACACATGTGATGAGTTTTTGCCAATGTGGATGCTCCAGGGGAGACACTGTCCTAGCAGGAGCCTCTCTGCAGTATTCACCGTGCAAGCATCACTTTATTTACCTGCTTCAGTAACTCCCCATTCCTAAACCTCCAGGGTTTTTATGCTGAAATAGGTGAGCATTCCCCCTAAAAGGGCGCTTATTCAGACAACTCCTGCCCCTGCTCCCCTGCCTGCTTCCCTCCTGCCCCACGATGGTCCTTGCTTTATGAGCATCCTCCTATTTGCCAGGCTGGTTTCCCTGCAGGCCAGCCGGCTCCGCAGCATCCCTGTGCTGCAGCAAGGTGGCAGGAAAACACAAATCAAATGGGACATCAGGACTGCATCCAGGGACTGCTCAAAGACTGGGGACCTCTTTCATCTCTTCCCACCTTGGTGAAGAGTAACTCATGCACCAAGTCTCTATTTGGCTGTGTTATTAAAAGCAGCTTGGTTTCGGGGTGTAACAGAAGGATGGATTGCATTGCTGGGGAGAACAGCATGTTCTCACTGCTTTCCTGTGTATAAACCACCCTAAGCACTGGCTGGACACTGCTCCTGCACGTCCACCTCGCCTCCCCCACCAATGTGCTATTTCATGCAGTAGCCAAGCTAAAAAGGGAACGTCGCTATCATGCCAAAAATGCAACTTTGATAAAACAGGAGGGGATCGGTCAGCAGGAGCGTGACTGGCTCGGGATCCGAAGGGAATAATGTGGGAAGGATGGTTTTCCTTCCTTGCCTCTCCCGCCTATCGAGCGCTGGATGCAATGGACTTAATTCCACCTGAACGCAGTAAATACAAAGAGCAATGCACAGCTTTTGCTGCAACACAAAGAGGTGAGGGAAGGCTGAAATGATATCCTATAATATGCCCTATTTCCACCCTGTAATGCATGGGTTAGCAGGTTTAGATGCATTCAGATTTGAAGGTTTATTGCTGTAATATGGAGAGCCAAATCACATTTAAAGAGATGGGGAAAACCTCAGTATGAGTTGTGGGTTATCCTGCACTCCCATCACCTTAAGGATGCTATTGTGTCCTGAGGCTGTGCAGTGTGAGGTGTAAATGGGGTAAAAACCTGCCTTTTTGGCAGTTTTCAAGCTTATGGTGCTCAGGACAGGGTCGAAAAGGCCCTTCCTATAGGCTTTACTCTTTATTCTCTATGGCAGACAACCTGCTGCACTGTTAGAAGATAGCAGTAGTCTCACACTCTCTAGGATCTCCACAATCAATGCTTAAAGCCATCTAAGCTGAAAAGCAGCCACCAAACAACTCTCCTTGGCTTTGTAATTCCCTTTGCAGCACAGAGGAACAGCCATCCCTGCTTCAGGAATAGGGGAGGCTTCCTTTGCTGCTCCTTTCCCCACAAAGCTTCACAGGGGGATGTAGGTCATGCATCAACTTTTGGGCATCTCGTGTTCTGATGTCTCCCAACAGAGCATTAAATCCAGTCGGATTTGGGCATTGCCAGTGGGCTGCAGATGCAGTTTCCAAAGGTCTGGCATGGCAGATCCATGCTTTTCTGCCTCTGGAACAAGCTCATTGCTAAACAACCAGGAAACCCCTCTTCATCTTACAGCACCCAACAGCAACACCAACTGATACGGTGCCCGTGTCGCTCTCTGGGGCTGTTCACTCCCCACCATGCATTAAGGAGGTCCCATCCCTCCCAACCTGTACTGGGAAGTCTATCTTTTGAGAGGACCACTACAAACACTGCAGGTTTTAATGGGCAGAACATCTTCCCAAAGTCACTGTGCTCCTCGGAAGCAGCTCCTCTGACAGGGCTGATTGCGCCTATCTGCAGCGGAAGGGGAGGAATGCACAGTTTATACTAAGATCATGTGCACTTGTCCTAATCACAGCGCCTTGTGAGCCCCAGCCAAGGTTCTCCACGTCACTGCCCTCTGCTGTCAAGGGATTATTTGCCTCTTCACACTTTTGATCTTTGCAGGAAGGAGCGTGTGGCATTTCCAGCCCAGATGCTCATGATGCTTCCCCTGCACCCGATGGAGGAGTTTCTCCCTAAGTGGTTTCTCATGCCCACATTAGGAATGAGCTCCTTGTTGAGGCAGAAAACAAACCCTGGAGCAGCTCTGACAACCACAAGGAAGAACTGAGAATGGGAACAGTTGCTCTGAAATGATGGCAGGGAAAATGCATCCCACGGGCGCTTTGGATGCATCTTGATTTGGGTGACAGGAACATGTGGCTCCCGTAGGTACACGGTGGGATCTTTGACTTGCAGCACCATTGGTGTTAGTGGGGCTTGAAAGAGGCTGCAGGAGACAAGAAATGAGTTGTAGTGTGTGGGACATGAAGGGGAGGTTCGGGTTGCTCATCTTTGAAGGTGGTTGTGCTCCTTGGGGCTCTTCTCTGCAAGGCTGTGGAGCTCAGCACCAGCAGGTCCAGGCCCTTTGCTCCAATAAAAAGGAGTGCTCTGACTGAGATTCCAAATGACCAGGTTTGAAACATGTTAATCAGATTTAATCTGATTAAATATTGGCTCTATAATACGGACTGGCTATACACCCAATATTGACTTTTATTCTGTAATAACACATTCCTGCTCCCATCTCCCCCTTTTTAACATCAGGTTCCCTTTCTCTCCCCAGTCTTTTTCCCTGCAGTCTGCATCTGCACTTCTCTATCACCGAAACCAAGTCCTCAGTAGCAGTAATGCAGGGTTTTACATTAACCTCACCCTGCTCGGCACAGAGGCATCATGCTTGGGAACTCAGAACTGTTGTGGCTTTCCCATTTCTGTCCCCACATAGGCTCTAGGCTGAGGCTTTGTGTGACATAAATGGGGAGGGAAAGGTTTTCTTCCAGAGTCCTGTTATTTTCTTTCCTCCATCAGAAGCTTCAGCAGCATCATTGCACTGTGGAAAGGCAACTTACTGGAAGGCAGTGGGCAGACAAGCTTATAAACAGCATCAGAAGCACCGTGAGACCTTCAGGTGCAGTGAGTCTTTATGCTGATAGCAGCAAGTGACAGGAAGAGATTCAGCATCATCATCAGGGTCAAACCCAGGTTTCCACCAGAGTGGATAAGGAAATCCTGTTGTGTGCTGATGAAATGGTGGAAACCAAAAGCAGAGGCAGGAAATAAGTCCAGATCTGTTGTTCTTTGAAATATGTCCATCAGGGAAAATGCAGAAACCCCTTTTTCTGTACCAGGTAAAGCTGCTGATGGACTCTCCCTGTGTCTGGGAGTGTGAAAGTGCTCTCCAAAGCCTCAGCAGCAGCCCTGCTGTAAGGAGCAGTGATTCAAAATAACTGAACAGCCACGAAACTAAAGAGCAGTTTGTGGCACTGTGATGTTTATACCTTGATATTGATGAGTCTGGCACAGCAGAGCAGGTGATGCTGTAGGAGACCTCTTGTCAATGGACCCCACAGGCTGCCTGGGCTTCTCTTGCTCTATAAGAGCAATAACCGACTGTATGTGTTGACGTGAGCATCCCAACAGCGGTGCTGGCAGCATTCACAACCATTATCCAGGCACCCCAGATCTTGGGGTTTCTCCAACTCCATGGATCCAGGATTTATGGCCTTTGTCCCATTCAGAAGCACTGGAGGTATCTCCAGCAAGGAGCCAGGTGGCTGGCAGCAGGGATGCTCAATGCTCTGATTGAGCAGCAAGAGATGTTGGCCTGTTCTATAAGTTCCTTGAGCAGCTGAAAGAGGAGGTACAAAAAGCACCCCAAAAAAGCTAAAGAACATGTTTGAAACTTCCTGTTTCAGAGCATAAATCACGCTGTAACTTCTGGGCTCCTTCCTCCAACCCAGCCCATGGTCAGTAGCAGAACATGGGCCAATACAAGTCCCTGGCTCTGAACCTGCTTGGCGATTCCTATGCACTCATGCAGCTGTGCAAAGCTGCCTTCTCCTAGTTGGTTTTAGCATCACTTTTGCTTGTGGATTTAGCCAAGTTTTTAATCTCCTCCTCAAGCATCTTGTTTTTCTTCTCCATCTCCTCCCATGAGCGCTCCACGCTCATCAACTTCAGCTCCAGTTGCTCAGATTTCTTCTTCTCCTTCTCAATGTCCTGATTCAGCCTCAACAGTTTGGTCCAGACTTCGTAGTTTTCCTTCTCAAGACTGCAAAGAGAAACGGAGAATGTAAGGATGAGACCAGAAGAGTGCTGGGAAGTCACCACCTGGTTCTTAAGGAGTCTGCCCTCTGTGTCATTCAGCAATAAAAGAAACCAGAGGTGATGTCCTGATCCCCTGACCTTCAATGGCCACATAATGGCCCATGGCAGGGGGTTGGAACTGGATGATCTTTAGGTCCTTTCCAACCCAAACCATTCCATGATTCTATAACATGGTGCAATAAAGCAATAAATCAATACACCTAGTATCTAATAACATGGTAACAATATGTGGAGCTATATAACACTGATGGTTACAACTAAAAATGCACTGAATTCTGGATAGCATATTGGTACAATACTGTAGTAACAACAGGAATTGTGACAGTGTGATTATTGCAGAAGCATCACAGTGCCATACAATGATGCTGTAAGGGTTGTAGGCTAGTAATACAGCATTAGCAACTATGTCGTGAGAGTACAGCACATGAGCATCAACTTCTAGGTAGCCTAATGCTCCATTTTATCATCAGTCAGTGCTATAGTGCATAGCATTGCTGCTAAACAAATCTGTGCAATGCTATGAGCTCATGAATAGCATGTACACATGAGCTCATGTGTAATAACATGAGCTGAACACTTCAAACTCTCCAGAATCATAGACTCGACCAGGTTGGAAAAGACCTTTAAGATCACCAGGTCCAGCCTCTGCACTGTGTTACCTTTTAATCTGCTCCTCGTAGTCTTTCTTCTGTAGCTCCATCTCTCTTTCCAGCTTCAGGACCATGTTCTGCAGGAACTCCCTGCTCCCCTCATCAGGCTTGGACACCTCGGGGCTGCTGGTGGCACTGCCTCTTTCCTTTGGCTCATGGCTGGGACTGGGGCAGGGCAGGAATTCCTTCTCGGAGCCGCTGCCTTCCCCACTCTCTGCCTGGGAAGCAGGAACGTTATCGTAGGTCGAAGCCCGGTGAAGGTCGAGCAGCTTAAAAAGATCATGAGACAACGTTCTCTTGTGTCCCTCTTGGACCACGGGGCGCACGCTGCTCCCAGGGGAGCTTTTCCAGCCCTCCAATGAATCATTCCTGTCGTTGCTGCCTTTCTGCCCCGCGGAAGCAGCTGCCAGGGAAGGTTTCCTGTTGGGTAAAGTCTGAGTTCTTTTCCTTGACTGTGTTTTCCACATTCCCGGTGTATCCTTAGGGCCCTTCTCTTCTCTGGGTGCACTTGAGCTCGCAGCCGGTTTGGGATCAGTGCTGGAATTGAGGTCATCTCTCTGGAAAACAGACCCATGGCGTTAGGACAGTGCTGGGAGCAGACACAGGTTGCAGCCAGCTGCCACTGCAGCTCTTACCCTTGAACATGCCAATGGGAATGGCCACAAGTTTTCCATAGGAACTTGTACGTGCGCCATGTTTCCCACTTTTTGCAGAGATTCTTTCTGAGAAAAGCCTTTAATCCTCAATGTTTTCCCTTCACCAGCAGGAACTGAAAAGGTTTCATCTGTTCTGCTGAAAAACTCCAGAAGTTTTTCCCAGAACTGTGGATTTTCCACAGGAAAGTGGGAAGTTTCTCTACATCATCTTCCTGATGCAGATATTCCAAGGATGACCGTTCTAGCTCTTTACCCTATTAATAGCTTTCAGTGTCTCGCTGACCTGCCAGATCCCACCATAATGAATCCCACATTCTTTCACGTATGGTTTGTTATTCCCTTAGGGATTCAGCCTCACCATTTGCCTTTGGGTCAGTGCATCAGCCCTGGTCACCCCGGGGTCCTCAGCTGCGCCCCAGCCCACGGAGCTGCGCAGGATGGGCGCCTTCTTGTCGTTGTTGTGGGCAGGCGGGGAGGGTGGCACATCCTTGGATGGAGGGAAGAGGCTTGCATGGTCGCTGATCAGCACAGTCATCACCTTCTGGATCTGTGGGGTGCCTGCAAGGGAGGAGAGCTCTGTCAGCAGCAAACCCAGTGTGACAGGCTAGACAAGGGACGGCTTGGTGTTGATCAGAGGGATGGAGCATCTCCTCTATGAGGAGCTGGGGTTGTTCAGCCTGGAGAAGAGGCTTCAAGGAGACCTTACTGTGGCCTTTCAGTTCTTAAAAGAAAGATGGGGAAAGACTTTTAGCAGGGTCTGTTGCGATAGGATGAGAGGTGATGGTTATAAACTAAAAGAAGGGGATTCAGACTGGATGTGAGGAAGAAAGTCTTTACTTTTTACACAGGTTGCCCAGAGAGGTGGTGGATGCCCCATCCCTGGAGACATTCAAGGCCAGACTGGATATGGTTCCTGGCAACCTGATCTAGGTGAAGATGTCCCTGCTCGTTGCAAGGGGTTGGAACTGCATTGAAGGAGCTTTAAAGGCCCCTTCCGACCCAAACCATTCTATGATTCTTTCAGCAACACTTCCATTTCTAGTCGGTCTTTCTGGTGTCCAAAATGGAGATGCACTTGGAAATGAGATGAAGACAAGAAGCAGGATCATAAAGCCAACCAAAGGGAGGGAGTTTTATATCCCCCCCAGAACAGCAGGAGCAGCCTATAGAGCAACCAAGACTGGAGCCTAGCCCCAGATTGTGCTGCTTTGCCTCAACAAGCAGACTGCAGTTATCAGTTATACAAGCAGGCAGATGAACATCTCTGCCATTCCCATGTGATGCCTGAAGAGCAGAGCATCCTTTGGCCTTAACATAGCTCTGCTGCATCTGACCTTGCCCCTGGGATTCCTGCTTCAAGCAAAAGAAAGGAGACTTCACCAAGTTCCTCAGTGGTTTGGAATCTATGGAGGTAACACACAATGCAATTCCTAAGGGTCACTATGAGCATGTTTATAACCTAACTAACATATGGCTTCACTCTCCCCTGCTGCACTTCCTGTGCCCAGGCATGTGTCTGGCTTCTATCCATGGGTCTACTGTAGGAAACGTGGGTGCAACTGAGTATTTCAGCATAGGAGGTGCTCCTTCGGCACGTGTTCCAGGAGTGCCTTTTACCTCTCATAATAATGGCAGGATCCTCTCTCTTGGGTCTGATGAGGTTCACTCCAATCACTGTTGCCAGGTTATCCACACTCATCTTGTTGACACTAGAATTCAACTGGATTTCGTGTAGAAACCTGCCAGAATCCCAAGGCAAATATTTCCAGTCAGAGAAGGAAGATGCCAGAAGCCTTATCCACCCCCTGCTAGAAACCCTGATTCATCCAGCCAGCTTTCCCTCTACCTCCCAAGGACAGAAACATGCCTTAGAGCTGCAAACTGGAGCTGGGTCTTACTGGTACCAACAGAAAAACCACCATGGTCCTGGTGCCTCAAAGGGAACAAACCCATGGCTTAAAAGGGGCATGTCCAGAGGAGTCAGCCTCAGCCTTTGGGATGATATTTCTGCTCACCAGCACCAGATCTGAGCTGTTGATGCCTTGTGCAGGGCACTGACCTGCAGACGTAGCTGAGGAGGTTGTAGTTGTCTCTGGGCAGGAGGGACAGCTGCTTCAGGAGTTCCTGATGGCCCTAAATGCAAGTTAAGAAACAGCCCTATGAAGATCCACAGGTTTATAGAGACCCAGGAATGGCTCTTGGCCGCTCCATCCATCCCTGCATGGTCCCACCTCTTGGAAATTCCATCTCTCCAACAGAACAAGGGACACGGAGAAGTTTCTGTGCAGTGCTCAGGAAGAAGAGGCAGCCCATTGCCCACCAAAGGGAAGAGCAGGAGCCCCTCCAGCCCAGCACGTGTGTGATGAGCTCTTCAGATCATGCCTCATCTCTTGCATTCCTTATATATGAGCATTTAGGACACTTTTAACCCCAAAGATCCCAAAGTGAAGCATCCTACAAGAAACATTTGCCCTTGAAACACAGGGCTGAAGCCTGCAGTTCACAGAGCTCCTGCTACCAAGGGTATCTGTACAGGAGCAGCATTCATGAGTGGAATTTTGGGGAGGGGGCTTATATAGGAACTCATTGAACCAGTTCCCATCTGTTCCTCACTTCTTCCTCTCCCAGATCTCCTTTCCTTGCTTGCTGTCCCCCAGAGCCCTCCCTCAGCTCGGGCTGAGGATTACACAGCTGATAACGCACAGCTCCGGGACACAGGAGCACCTTTACCTTCCTCCCATCCGCATCCAGCGCCTGCCCGCACAGCAGGAAATCCTCATACTGCATCCAGGGCACCACTGGCTCCGGCAGCTCCCGCAGGTAGAGCTTGAGCAGCGAGGCCACGGTGTGAACATCCGTATCCCTGCGGTGCGCAAAGAGAGCTCACTCACGAGCTGCAGAGCAAACCGGGAGCATCATAGAACCATAGAATGGGTTGGGTTGGAAAGGACCTGAAGCTCATCCAGTTCCAACCCCCTTGCATGGGCAGGGGCACCCCACACTAAACCATGGCACCCAAGGCTCTGTCCAACCTGGACTTGGAGCACCACTAGGGATGGAGCATTCACAACCTCCCTAGGAAACCCATTCCAGTGCCTCATCACCCTCACAGTAAAGAGCTTCCTCCTTATATCCCATCTAATCGGATGTATTGGATCAGGAATATAAACCCTTGATGGAGATTTCCCCCACCATGGTGCTGGTGGGTCCCCAGTGCTGTGTTTGACTCGTGAGCCTTTGCATGCAAATCCTGCTGGTGCTTGGCAGGAGCTGCTCCATGCGGAGCTTGCCTGGGGTTGGGGAGATTAACAGCAATTACTGGAGCTGTGCTGCCGGGACAGATGTTTGCAGCTTTGCATACCATAGAGTTTACATTATGTCAAGGGGACACTGCCAAGCTCAGAAGCCTCCCATTTGACCCACCTTGAAGTGGTTGAACTGTGATAAACTTCCAGCAGAAACCCCCCAGGGCATTTATTTTTAGGACTGTTTGGGGTTTTTTTAACATCCTACTGGGTTTAACAAATGCACACGGCCATAGAGGAGGACTTTGGAGCTGTGTTTGTGCAGGGCCTACCAATACACACCATTAGGTATCTGCTGGTACTGCAATAAGAGTTGTCGAACAGTCATAGAATCATAGAGTCATAGAATAGTTAGGGTTGGAAAGGACCTTAAGATCATCAAGTTCCAACCCCCCTGCCATGGGCAGGGACACCTCACACTAAACCATATTACCGAAGGCCTCGTCCCCAGCCAATGCTTGGGCATCTTGTGGGAACCCAAACGTGGAGCACTCAGGTCACTGCAGACCCCACTATTGGCCTTTCTCCTTGCTAAGAAGAGGGTTTGAAGGGGTACAGTGACCCCAAGATCCCCATAGCAATGCACATAGCTCAGGGTTATCGTGGCAGGGTGATGGGAAAGGGCCAAACTCTCTCTATACCCCACTGTGTAACAAGCAAGCTTCACCTTCCTATGACCCACAGGCAGGTTACAACAGGAGAGCTCCCAGCAGGGCTCCAACACCCTCAAGGCTGCAAACCCAAGGGTAGGGATGTTTGTGCTGCCAGAGCAGCCCTGGCAGGGAGGAGTTAGGCCAAAATCCTGTGGTTTTTCCCTAACAAAGCTGCATAAAACAGGATAAACCCAATCTCAATCTCCCCTCGTTCACTCTAAACCCATTGCTCCTTTTGGGTCCCTCTCTCCCACAAGCAGCCCAGATTTTGCCAGCGGCTCCCAGAGCTCGGGTGATGCCTGAGACCTCTTAAGGTCCCTTCCAACCCAAACCTTTGCATGATCCTGTACAGGGCAGGTCCCCAGCATCACCAGGGCCAGTATCAACCATCCTCATACACATGCAGCAGCCTGGGCACTCCTTGCCTCAGCTCGGGGGGGGTAAGGCAGGGGAAGGATTAAACCAAAAGCCTCACTTTAGGTGCCATGGGAGGGCTTTTATAGAGAGGTCCACCAGGGATTTATCTCTCTTCTCTCCTTTTACACAGGGCATGGCAGAGATAGCAGTGGCAAACAGCATCCTAAAGCCTCTCTGAGACCTATAGGCAGAGCCAGGCAGCTCTGCAGAGGAAGGGGTTCAGGAGGGTGCAGCCAAAATCTCTTTCATGTTTCTATGTGGTTGTAAGCAACAGGAAAGGAAAATACCATGGCTATGGGCTGGTAGGGAAAGGAATAACATCTACTGCCTGCATTAGGGTGTTCTCTGAGCTTGTTTGTGGTCCTTTACTCGCTCTCCTTTCTCTAAACCTCTGTCCCCAGCTGATGGGCAGTGCAGGCTCTTCCCTTTGGCTGCTGCTGCACAAATAACTGCTGCATGGAGCCAGGTTATTCCTAAACGCTTCCCTTTACTGCCATGAATCTCAGCACCCTCTAATTCTGTTCTGGGGGGTTCTGATGGATCCCCTTCCCTTAGCAAGCCCTTATGGAGGGTCCACGTTTCCTGCTGGGCTCTCAGGGGGTTGACAGGCTGCTTTCCCCCAGGTTTGGGGGTGTATGAGCAGGGAAGGGGGGGATCCAGATCCAGCATTACCGGTCAAACGACGGCCTTTCCCCAGCATCGAAGGCATCCCTGAGCTGCTTCACCAGGTTGTCCTGGCCGGGGAGGCGGAAGATGCCCTCCTCGCTGACACCGTGCTCCCGGATGAACTCAGCACACTTCTGCACCAGGATGGGGACCTGGTGCTGCCCAAACCTCTGCTCGTAGGCCATGGTCTCTGCCAAGTGCTGCCCGAACACCGCTGGGGAAAGGACAGGGGTCAGAGCAGCCCAAACCCTTTGCTGAAGGCATCAGGTGATGACCGGCAGTGGTACCTGCTGTTCTGATAGCACAGCAGCCATAAGAAGGCTGCAGTGTGGGGCAAAGCAGAGCATCTTCCAAGCAAAACGAAGCCTTGCTCCTCCTCCAAATAACAGCTCTCAAACTGGCTCATACCAAGCAGTGAGCCTTGTTTTCTGCCGTGCCATTTGCCTGCCTTGGAGCAGGATGCTGACACAGAGGGAGGCAGGGACGGCATAAAGGCTGATGGCACATGGAGAAAAAGCAAGCTGGAGGCTATAGAAAGCACAGAGACCACCAAGAAAGAAGGAAAGCAGAGGTTTGGAGGTGGAAATCTGACTGGTTCCGTTGCTTTTATTCCCCCTCCCTTTTCCTTTCCCCCTTCCAGGACTCCCCATGCAGGCAGCAGCAGCAGGCAGTACCTGTCCTTTGCAGCAATGGCTTTTTCCTCCTGAACTCACAGCAGAAGAAGAGCTCGAAGGTGGGAAGGCAGCAGCCTGCATCCCAGCTCTTCCTCCTTGGAGCCTGGGGCATGGTCAAGCAGCCCAATCCAAGCATGAGCTCTGGGGTATCAATGCTAATGGGTTCTATGGTCCTCTGCCATGGTTTTGGCCCAGCAGCGCCTGGGATGTGTTCACCTTGTGCTCTGAAAGCTGAAACAATCCCTGTGCATCTTCCAGAGGAGGAAAAGGCAAGAAAACACCCATCTGGCACCACAAGGCTTGTCAGGACCTGCCTGATCACGGGGATTTTCAGTTATAACTCACTTATGCTTTTAAACTATTAATATAAACCTGTCATTGTGCACGGGGAAAGCAAATAGCTGCTTCCCTCCCCTCTTTGCTTTGGTAGCTGATAGAGAATCACTTCTTTAACTGCAGACAGGCGCTGGTCAATGTGGGGGTACCTCCAATGCAGTGCCCATGGCAGGATCCTCTGCAGGGAGGCAGCCAGCCCTGCACATCCCCTCCCACATTTTGGGGATGCTTTTGCTGTTGCTTCACCCTTTGCAGCTTCTCTGCTTTTTGGTACTGCTGTGAATGGGTGGTTTCCATCACATAAAGGTCCCACAAGCAACTGGCAGCCCCCAGGCTTAAGCAAGGCTCAGATGTGGGGTTGTTACTAAACGTTAGGGCCAGGTAGGGCAATGCCTGGGAAATCTCTGGCTCATGCAGTGCTCCTTTCAGATGCCACCCCCAGGGCACAGCAGGGTTCAGTCAGAGGCAGGAAACACCAGGGCTGCAGAGGAAAGCAAATTGTGTTGTGCTTTAGGTGATGCTTAACCTGTGCCACAGCTCCCACCTGCCTCTGAATGGCTGTGATTTATGGTAACACAGGAGCTCCATTGTGCTTGAATGACAGAGCTGAAGGGCATGGACCCTATAAAGCAGCGTGCAAACAGGGCAAGGCACAGAGGGAGGGAGGAGAGGCTTGGGGTGAGCATCCAGGTTAGTGCCCTTCTAGAAGAGAGCTTAAAAGCCCTGTTCCTTCGGTGGGTTTTGTTCATAGGAGTTCACCCTCTTTGGAGGAGGTCATCCTTATAGGAAAAGGGGCTGGAATGACCTTTGCTGCTTCCTTTGTGGGCAAGGTTATGGTAGGCTCCTGTCTGGTGGGCTCATGTTTTATACTCCCCTGACCACAATGTTGTAATGGCATCAATGCATCCCCAGAGAGGGGCTGGAAGCAAGGATGCTGGTGGGCTCGTGTTTTATACTTCCCTGACCACAATGTTGTAATGGTATCAATGCATCCTCAGAGAGGGGCTGGAAGCAAGGATGCTGGTGGGCTCGTGTTTTATACTTCCTTCACCACAATGTAATGGCATCAATGCATCCTCAGAGAGGGGCTGGAAGCAAGGATGCTGGTGGGCTCGTGTTTTATACTTCCCTGACCACAATGTTGTAATGGTACCAATGCATCCCCAGAGGGGGGCTGGAAGCAAGGATGCTGGTGGGCTTGTGTTTTATACTTCCTTCACCACAATGTAATGGCATCAATGCATCCCCAGAGAGGGGCTGGAAGCAAGGATGCTGTTGCCACAAGCCTTGCTTGTGCCTGAGGAGGGTGGTTGCATGGCCAAGGCAGAAGGGCTGGGCTGAGCAAGAAGAGCAAAGAAAGGGCATGGGCAGGTTAAAGGCAGGATTTGTGAGCCCCAAAGGGTTGTTTGCAAGGGTAATGCTTTATGGGGGCAAGAATTCAATGAGGAAGCTTGAAACCAGCCCAGAAACCTTCCTTCATGCTTGGCTGCCATTCACTTAACGCTGCCCATGCCTGCAGCAGACCCAGCATCACAGGGCATGGCCTAGGAGTAGGTTCCTAAGGTGCTGCAGTCACATCGCAGCTCCATCACCCAGTTGGGTGGGTTTATGAGGCTAGCTTTGGATCCCTTGCACTGCAGACCATGAGGCAGGGAGCAACGGGCTCTCCAGGAGCTGTCCCTGCTCTCCTTTACCTCCTGATGTAGACCCCAGCACCCGTCGGATGGATTTAACCCATTCTTCCATCTCAGACTGGGAATTCGCCATGAGCACGCAGGGGTCCTGCCCGGCCCGGCTCTGCTCTCCGGAGAAGCCTGCAAGGAACCATTTATTATCATTTATAGGGAGGACTGGAGGAGAAAAGATGCATTCTCCTGCTGGGTTTCCTTCCTAAATGCTTTCAGCTCCAAATTTCCCCCTTGGTCTCTGCTTGGCTCTGAAACGAAGCAGTGCTTTTGTATTGCGCCCTCACTGAAGGGCTGCAAGAAGGGAACAGAAACTGCTGAGCAGCGCAGCTTGGCACTGGGTACGGGCCCTCCTCCAGCCCCAGCATGGGAATAGTGGAACCAAGATGGTAGTTTCCATGTGCAGCTCAATGCTGTGAGGCGTTGGAAGGAAAGGGGAGCAAAAGGAGTGGCTCAAATGGCTCCGGGGGGACCCAAGAGCATGCAACAGAGGGAAGCATCCTCACCTGGGATGATCTCAAAGATGAACTTCCCTCCTTCCTCTGGGTTGCTGGCCACCTCCTTGATGGTGCTTCCCTGGAGGGACAGGCAGCCCTAGGACAAAGCAGAGCAGGAGCTGCAGAGATGGCCTGTTACTACCACGTGTAAGCATTGAGGATCAAAGCCCTTCTTAGGAGCAGGCTGCAGGAGCTGGTGAGCTTTGTGTATCTGCTAAGGATTACTGCTCAGACATTAAGGGATGCTTCAAAGTGCCAGGTTTTCTGATGAAGGGGCTTTCAGAATGGTTATTTTGCTCTTGTCCTCCCTTCTCATGTGTTTTCTAACCCCTGATGGGAGTGGAAGAAGAGAGTAAGGCACTCAACAAAGCACCGGAGCAGGAAACCTGCTCCTTTAACACCGCATCACTTAAACCCCCAAACCAAACCCAACGTTTGCAGCAGAGGAGTAGAGAAAAAGAAGAAAAGGAAGGGGAAATAAAAAAGCAACGTGGAAAAGAGCCATTGCTTTTGGACCTTCCTTTCCCCAGTCATCACAATGGGCACGGGCAACCCGGTCCTGGCTGGAGGGGATGGATGGGAGCGGCCAAGGCACATAGGGACTGAGTGGGGGTGAGTCAGCACCAGAGGAAACAGGGCCCTGCCATAGACATGAAGCTTCAGCCTCCTGAAAGCCACTGGGCTCCTGTGGGAGGACTTTTAGTGCTCCAAAAGCCTGGATTGCAGCTGGATCAATCAGAATCATTGATGGGATCAGAGAGGCTTGAAATGAGCTCTGGGAGCAAGTGCAGAGGAGGCCACGAGGATGCTCAGGGGCTGGAGCAGCTCCTATATGGGGCCAGGCTGAGAACATTGGGGCTGGAGAAGAGAAGCTGCGTGGAGACCTCAGAGCAGCTTCCAGTGTCTGAAGGGGGCTACAAGGATGCTGGAGAGGGGCTCTGCATCAGGGACTGTAGGGATAGGACAAGGGGTGATGGGTTCAGACTGAAACAGGGGAAGTTCAGGTTGGAGATAAGGCAGAAGCTCTTCCCTGTGAGGGTGCTGAGGCGCTGGCACAGGGTGCCCAGAGAAGCTGTGGCTGCCCCATCCCTGGCAGTGCTCAAGGCCAGGTTGGACACAGGGGCTTGGAGCAAGCTGCTCCAGTGGAAGGGGTCCCTGCCCCTGGCAGGGGTTGGAGCTGGAGGAGCTTTAAGGTTCCTTTAACCCAAACCAGGCTGGGGTTCTGTGATGCATCAGGGTCACGGGCAGAGCACTTTCTGTTTCTATACCCCATTTACAATGGGGAGGCAGTTCCTCCCAGTCACCCTGACACAGGGCAAAGCCAGAAATAGGACCTGCCTCTTGCCAGGCTCAGTCCTGTGCTTTCACCCCGAGGATCTACCGACTGCCTGCAGGCACCTGAAGAATTCAAGTAGATAGAGGATCACAGATCGGTTTGGGTTGGAAAGGACCTTAAAGCTCCTGCAGTTCCAACCCCTGCCATGGGCAGGGACATCTCACACTAAACCATGGCACCCAAGGCTCTGTCCAACCTGGCCTTAAACACTGCCAGGGATGGAGCATTCACCACTTATTTGGGCAACCTATGCCAGCGCCTCAGCATCCTCACAGTAAAGAAAGTGCATCCATGAAGCTCCCGATCAGGGTACCTCATCTCTGGTACTGCCCAGAGGCAGAAAACTCCTTCCATAACACCCTGCTCCAGCCCCATCCCAAACCATTTCCCCATGAGCAAAGCTGCAAGAAGAGGGACACTGAGACCAAGCAAAACCCAGCATCCTCTTCCTACCTGTGGCTTGACATCATCCTCATCCTTGTAGTAGTAAAGCTGCTGCCCCTTGAGCACGAAGTAGCGCTGCTGCCAGTTCTTGACGATGGAGCGCTGCTTCTTGAGCCAGCCGTCCTTCAGGGTCCTCTGCAGGGCACTGGGGGCACCCGGCCCGGCGCCCGCTGCATCCCCGCTCATCACGCTCCTGGACCGCGCTGCCAGGGAAGGAGATGGATGGGGACACACGCAGGGGACAAGGCAGCAGCAACCCCCAGGGCTGAGGGATGCTCCAGCAGTGAGCGCGGCTCTGCCCCTCCGCCTGCGCCCAGAGGGGTGGCTGCAGGGTTTAAAGGAAGTGGCTGCAGTATCTGCGAGCGGGCGCTTCCTTTTCCTGCGTGGGGGGAATTGGCGTGCGAGCAAGAAGAAAACCATCAGGGGGTGTTTAATGGCGCGGGTGTTTTCCTTACAGCCACCCCAAAGAGCCTGCAGCAGCGCCAGGACCTGGCCCCACTTGGACAGAAACCAGTTGGAAGATGTAGTTTTGCTATGGGAGAGCTTTGCCTCGTGTTTGCCATGGGCAGCTCTCACACAGTGGGAAGTCTCCAAAGTGCAATGTGGATTCAGAGCATCCTCTCCTCTCTGCATCGCCACTGAGGGACCAGCAGCATTGGGCCTGTGGCATCTCTAAATGCTGCTGTGAGAGGGATCAGTTCCTGCTTGGGAGGGATGGTTTCCAGAAGGGATTCTTGCCTCTGGACCCCAGTGCCAGTGTAGCTGGGCAGAGTTAGCATTTATGGTCATGGGGCAAAACCAATGACTGCAGGGGAATTCAGCCTCACATCGGGAGGAGATGTAGGGCAATTCCCAAGGTCCTACATCTCCCTGCTAACACAGAGCTGGTGGCACCTGGCTGAGGGCTATGGTGCAGAGAGTGGAGCAGGGCTCGGCCCCCTGAGCCCAGCAGCATTTGCTGGCAGAGGATGTTCAGGCTGAGCTGGGAGGGAAGCGTTGTGCAATGCTGTGGGATGGGGGAAGCTGCAGCAGGCCCATATCTCTGCCCCCAGACGCCTGAGCTGGGCAGCAGAGCAGAGCAGAGCTGCAGAGGCTGTGGTAGATAGGAGTGTCAGTGGATCCTGGACCTGAGTGCAAAGGACATGCTTAAAACAGGAGGAAAGTCACCCACTGCTGCCTTGTGATGCACAGACACCCATAGGGAGCGTGAGCCTGCAAAGCACCCAGTGCCCTGTTGCTTCCGAGGTCAGGGATCGTGCCCAGCTTCCCCTTCTGAAACCCCCTGGAGCAAAACACCCTTGCCTTGGTCCTCCAGAGCCAGGCTTGCGTAGGGCACTCTGAGCTCACCTGCACACCTCAAACCTGTCCCAGGATGCAGATCCCTTCCCCAAAACCCAACAGGGATGTGGATCTCAAAGTCACCCTTCCGAGTGCACTGAGGATGCTGCTGGTGTCTCAGTGTGTGCTGATGCGGGATGGATGCCCCCTGCAGAGGATGCGCTTGTAAGAACGGGATTTTCCAGCTGCTTCCCTTGAAAAATGCTGGTGCTGGGAATCACCCTGATGCAGAAACCAAAGCGGGGTTCCCGGATTGCAGCTCTTTGCCAAAAACATCTGCATTTACCCAAATCCCATAAAGCGTTCATATGAATCTCAGCGAGCCACTCGGGAGCAGCATCACTCCTCTCTGTACATCATGTTTCTCCATGTCTTGTGGCTGCTGCCAGCTCCTCAGGGATGAGGGCTTCTGGGAATGATGTGCAGCTGTTGGGAGCAGGGATGCTGCAGGGTGCAGGGCACAGAGAGCACAGCCCATCACCAAAGAGCAAATCCCAAATGGACTGGCTCCAAAGCAGCCCCGTGCTGCAGGAAGCAGCTCTCCCATCATCCAGCACTCTGATGCCTTCCCGAATCCTCTCCCATCAGTGAAGCAGGGATGCTGATACTCACTGACACCACTCACATTCGCAGAGTGAGAGCTCTGCACCAAGCACTGATGTCCTTGAGGGCTTAATGTGAAGTGAAGCTGTTATAACGCAGCTCACACCCTGATGGGTGGAAATCAGGGATGTGTCTCCATCCACCAGCCCTGTGTTCCCAAAATTCCCTTCCCCACATGGCTCAGCCCAGCCCAGCAGTGCTGATATTGCAGTGGCACGAGATGTGGAAAGAGAAATCATGTCTTATGTAAAAGGCAATGGTTTACTAGCCCTTATTGCAGATACCAAGCTCCCTCTAAGCCAGCCATCAGGGCTCTGCACCATGGAAAGGAATCACCCCATCAGTCTGCTACCCAGGGGTTCCTCCTGCTCTCAGCCTTAAGCTTAAATTGCCTGGTCCTTGCTGGAAACCAGGTTTCTCCCTCCCTCTGTGTAAGGGGTGTGCATTTCATTGGGTCCCCTTTCTTTAGCATTAGCCAAAGACTCGCAGCACAACTGGAGGCTTAGCCATGGCTTAGCCATGTCCATGCAGTGTGAACACACAGATGTATGCTCCTGCTGCATGAGGCAGCTCTCCCTGCCATCCAGATGGGTTTGGATGTGAAGCTCGGGCTCATTTCAGGCCCAAAGAGCAGTTTACAGGCTCCTTCCTACCCAAAAGCCGTGCCTATGGCAGGGCTCATGCAGAGCATGGGGAGGAGATGCCCTGGGAGCTCCGCTTTTCCCTTGGGTGTCACCAGGATGGTCCAGCCTTGGCAATCATCTCCTTCGCCACCACATCCCTGCCACGCTTGGCTCCTCCTTGCCACCCTTATGGGGCACAAAAGCAAATGTGGTGCCTCCCAAAGCATTTCCTGTGGTAACGGCCTCTGAAGTTGAATGTTTCCTCCAAAACATCCTCACTCTCCCTCCAGCCATGGGGACTCCAAAGAGAGAAGCCCTCCCAAAGTGTGAACGCAGGAGGAATTCCCACCGTGGCATCCACATCAAAGGGCAGGAGCTCTCCCTGCCGTCTCCTCTGCTCCTGCCCCACAGGAGGGATGTTGGGTATTGCAAAAGCAAAAGTGCCACAAGAATCCTAGAGCCAACGGGGTTGGAAAAGACCTTTTCAGCTCATCAAGTCCAACCCTCCTGCAATGAGCATCACAAACAGCATCTCCTTCATTGAACTGAAGAGCTTTGAGAGGAAGAGGTGCCCCGGGGCCTCCAAAAGCTGTTTGTGCCACCACCATGGCCCAGAGTGAGGAGGGGGAAGTGTCCTGAAGCCAGGAGGAGCCAGCAAGGGTGACTAATGCACTTTCCACAAGCAAGTCACATCCCTACTGCACCCCTATAGACAGCAGTGGCCGGTCCCCAGCCCCAAAGCAAGAGAAGAGCCGAGCTGCTGATGGGATTTGGCCATTGCTCCATGACCTCTGTGCAGAACAGTGTTAATAACCCTAAAAATGGGCAGTGTAGAAATCGGGGATGCTTCTGTGATAACCACGGGGGGGACGTCTCCACTATTGTCCTGCAGGCTGATGACTGCAGGTGATGGCACTGCCTGAGGGCTCCATCCTGAATGCCCCATCCCTGGCAGTGCTCAAGGCCAGGTTGGACACAGGGGCTTGGAGCAAGCTGCTCCAGTGGAAGGGGTCCCTGCCTGTGTCAGGAGGCTGGAATTGGATGGGCTTTAAGGTCCCTTGAACCCAAACCATTCTAGGATTGAATGAAAGCTCCTGGACCACCCAGGGGCTCATCCTATGGGGACTCTTCACTTGGGGCCTTGTGTGAGGTGAAGCTTTGACCACCCCAATGAAGGCAGTTTCAGATAGGATTCCAAATTGCCCTTTGCAAGACAATCCAGCCAGGATGACATTGCAAGGCACAGGGAGGAAGAGCTCAGCACACAGAGACCAGCATCAGGGTCAAACCTGTTTGCTGCTAGGAGAAATCAAGGTGTCAGTGTGTCCCAACCATGGTTTGGCCAGTGCCAGGAGCACAGATTGCCCCAGGGCATGCACAAGGTTGGGCTCGTGCACCCCTTTCTCAATCACAGCATCCTCGCCACTGAGGATGCTTGACCCAAAGCAGGCCTCGGTTCTGCTGTGTATTTTGGCCGAGGAACCTGCCGTTGGGCTCAGAGGTGTTCCCAAGTGGGTTTTATGCTGGAGCTATGAGCAGAAGCAGGAGAGGAGCCAGGAAATCAGGCAGTGAAGCTGTCCCACAGCACAGAGCCCAGCATGGGCATCGGAGGGCTCTTCACCACCAGCGAGAGGAAACCAATGACGTTGGGGTGGGAGAAGAAACCTGATTAAGGGCGAGATTGCTTCCTCCAGCCCGCACCGCAAGGCTTGCACCAGCAGAAGGAGCCCATGTGGTTGAGATGCCCCCAGACCTGGGTTATGGGTGGGCAGCAGCCCCATGATGCCAAGTCCCTCCATTCCCCACCCTCCCGAGGCAGCCCCAGCGCACAGCATCCCTCTGTGACAGCTTTGCAAACCGCCTCATTTGCTGCCCCAGAAGTAGCTGGGGGCCAGAAGCGGGTTTGGGTCATGGCCATAGCCAGAACCACAGCTATGCTTGGCTACAAGCACCCGTCGGACCCCGAATGGCTGAAGCAGGAACAGAAGAGCATAAGGAAACCCGGTACCTATTTTGGCAGCATCCATTCTGAGGTTGAAATCCCAGTTCCGTGGCAGCTTGAGGGACATTCCGGACCAGGAAAGGCTTTTTTCTTCCTTAAGGGGGGGCCTTGCTTAGGAGACGGGAGGAAACAAAGCCCTGAGGTCCTATGGGGACCCCGCACCAAGAGCAACAGCTCAGCAAGGGTTGATTTGCCAACGTGCTTCCTCTTCCCTCCTCTGCGGGCGGCTCGGAACAACCCATAAAAGTACCTTCCTGCCCTGCTCTCCTCTGAAGCTCCTCTCTGCCTTCCCAATGATGCCGAGGTGATGCCTCCTTCTCTGCTCCCCTCTTTGATGGATGCAGGGATGCGTGGTCCCAGCCTGCACCCTGCCCGGTGCTGCGCTCTGCTCCTTGCATTTGAGGAAGTGGGTGTCCTCGGTGCACCAGCAAACTGCTCACGGCCCAGCACGGAGCTTTGGGATGTGCTGTGCTCCGCAGCAAAGCAGGGCAGAGCATGGCCAGATGGCACTGGATGGCGGCTCTGAATGTCCTGGTGCATCGCTGTGGTGCATGGGTGTCTTTTGCACTTCTTACTGCGGCTGCTCAATAGCTTTTATGGCTGATTTAAGGCTTTTACGCCCACTTTGTAACTGGTAGGAGCTGAAAGGCTGTGGGTATCAGAGCAGTGATGGCCAAGGGATGTGGGCACGGACCCCACCAGGTCAAGCAACCCCTCTTTCCCTGCTGACAACAGTGTGTATCCTGTTCCTAAATGATATTTAGTGCTGGTTTTCCACAAAAGAGATGGCTGTGCAGCTGCAAGTGTGATTACACTGGGATGCAGCTCTTGAGACCCAGGATAACTGCGATGTGGCACTCACAAACAGCCCCATGGAACAGAAAGCAGCTTCATGGAGGCCTCCATCCCATTCCCCCCCCCCATGCTGGGAAAGCCCAAGCCCTGTGCAGGGGGAAGTTGGCACTGAACAGAAGCAGAAATAGGGACGTGGGGAGCGCAGGGGCTGACAGAGGCCACCGGTTCCCGTTGGGGTTTGCAGCCCAGCCGCTCGCAAAGGCTTTGCTCTTAATGCTGCAGCGTGAATGGAGGATGGGGCTCTCGGGGTCACAGCACAGCCAGAGTGGGCTCTGGGGGGTTAATCCCAGCTGAGGAATGGATCTGTTGCTTTGAGCACTGAATGGAGCCAGCTCAGAGGTCCCCAGCTCACACATTCCACTGCTGGGTGGCTATAGAGAACATGATGGTGCGGGAAGTGGTGCTGGCGCAATGGAGCATCCCAGGCTTGAACCACATTAACCCCAATACCCTGCTCTGGACCCAGACTGCCTGAGTTAACTCAGTTTTTGCTGTACCCCAAGCAGAAGGCCCTGAATTGAAACACTTCTCCTCTGGTTTCTAATACCTGCTGTAGGGACTCGTGTGTTCCAATCCCACCTTTCTCTTCAACCCGTTCTCTTTCTTCTACAGCAGAGGTTGCAAACAGCTTTTCCCCACCTGCCTGTGTGAACAGGATGTCACGCGGCACTCTCCCCTCCTCTAGAAAGAGAACAGTGAGGAGTTTAGCTCGAATTCATGCACTTCAGCTCCACCACAGCAGCTCAGCCCAAACCAACCCTTCACAAACACCCAGAGGGCTTTTCCGGCTGCCCCATGGATGCTCCCATCGGGCATCTGGTTGCTGCCTGCATCAGTGGGAAAGGACATCACAACACTGGGGTGTTCCCTTAGCAGTCGAGCCAGGCAGCCTGCCCCTGAACCAAAGGCCCCAGGGGAACTTTAAAAGGGCAAATCTCAGCCCATAAGGGTGGTTGGTTTACATCCTTCCTCTATCAGGGTCTCACGGAAGATGTGAATGGACAGAGACCTGCTTGCAGGAAGGCAGCCCTGGGTTGAGGTTTAACTGTGGGTTCTGGATCTGGAGCACAGCTCGCACCAAGATTCCCACTGGGAATTCGTGCTTTTCAATGTTTGAGTTCATTACATTGGCACAGAATGGGGAGAAACAAGGAGGGATCTTCCAGAACAGGGTGCCCAGAGAAGCTGTGGCTGCCCCATCCCTGGCAGTGCTCAAGGCCAGGTTGGACACAGGGGCTTGGAGCAAGCTGCTCCAGTGGAAGGGGTCCCTGCTGGATGAACTTTAAGGCCCCTTCCAACCCCAAACCATGCTATGAAGCTATGATTCAGCTGAAATGGAAGCAGCGATGCTGATAGCCTCAGGGGCTGGTGTGTCAGATGATGTGTGTGACTCACTGCAAGGCAGTTGCTGAAAGATTTAACACGAACAGATCTCTCAAGACCTCTCAGCATCTCACTGCTTCATCGCACGGTGCTGCTCAGCAGCTTCCTACTTAACCTGCACACACCTCCTCGGGTGATGTGTAACCACACAAGAGTTGGGGCTCTGGAGTAATGCTGTAGAGAGAGGGCAGCACATCTGGTTGTTGATGGAGGATTAAGTTATCTGAATATGAGGACCCAGTGTGACAGGAAGCAGAAAGAAGGCTACTGCTGGGTTGGGTTCGGCTTAGCTGATAAGTCAAAACCACTCAAAATAACACAGGATCTAAGATTAGTGCTGCTCTAACCACACACATCAGGAGAAATGGCTGAAAATGAAGCTGCAATTGATGCAGCTTTCCACATTCCCAATGAAAGCTTTAGGGTAAAATGGGCTCAGTTGCAGGAGGCAGCAGTTTCAACACCTCCCTCATCTTGGATCAGATGGGCCTGGTCATAGAATGGCTTTGGTTGGAAAAGACCTTAAGATCAACCCATTCCAACCCCCTGCCATGGGTAGGGACACCTCCCACTAGAGCAGCTTGCTCCAAGCCCCATCCAACCCGACCTGTGCGCTCAGCCCATCTCTAGCCTTCAGGCCTGTCTTTGCCACAACCAGGCCTGCTCTTAGGAAGATCCCTAAGGAGCAAGAGCTACAGGGCAAGGAATGGTGGAACCTGAGTTTAAAACAGACCCATCTGCTTCACAGAATATGGACAAGAGGCTTTCAGCATCTCCCACCCAGCACTGAATAAAACACTACAGATAATGGAACTTATATTTATTTAACAGTAACACATAGTATATAAATAGGGTAAATACTTTAAAATATACAATATATCACATTTGGACATTCGGTCAAAGAAAGGCAACTCTACAGGTGGAGCTAAACCATGAATCAAAAGAACAGTGCACAGAGAAAGAAGCAGATGTAGAAACACATCAGGGCTGGAGAACAGGAGCACATCAAGATTACAGCAGTACAAATGCATCTCCGGGGCTGGTTACAGAGGGCAGGAACCACAGGAGCTTTCATACCATGCTCTTTGGGACACGATGCTCTCCCGTCCCCAGGAAGGTCTGGATGGGCTGTATGGATGCTCCCCACACAGCTTTGCCCTCCTCCTGTTATACAGAGCCGGTTAGAAGAGGCAGGGAAGGAGGAGATGCCAAGATCCCATCACAACCATGCTCTTGGGGACTGGCTGCACACATCAGAAACAGGACACAGCCCTTGGAACATAAGAAACTGGCATTTCACAACCTGCTGCCAAGCACTAGCTGATGCTGTGGGATTTCCAGCTGCACAGGGTATCAAGAATCCAGTGCAACAGCTTGGGATCAGTGTCAGCAGACTTCTGAGCCCACCACCCTGAAGAATCTCTAACTAACTCATGCTGAATCAGTGGTGGACATGACCCTAAATGCAGGAACCAGGTGGAGATGTTCCACTGAGCATCCCATCCCATCCCATCCACAAACTCATCAGACTTGGAGGAGCAAATTCCCATCGGATCATGCCAAGTGCTCATCTTCACAGACCCAGCCAAGCAGCATCAAACCCGGTCTGACCTGTACTAAATCACCCACCAGCAAACCAGCATCATGTTTAGTCCCCTCACCAGGACACCAGCTTCTCCCACCAGCAAAAGCAGCTTTCTATCCCTTTGATCAAATAGACTCATCCCTCTCTGTCTGCTGTTACTGCTGGTCAAGAAGGGGTCTCCACACCACAAGCAGCAGTCACACCCTGCTGGGCTTCACATTGGCCAAATCCTGCTTTTCTCTTCCTTCCTTCCCAAGCACACACACTCTGACTGGCACAGTACCTTCCCCCTGTGCTGCTTATTCCCTTCTTGCTGGGCACAAGCTGGAGGAGCTTCTCTGGTGGTGGAGCCCACTGGGAACAAAACCCATGGTGCAATGCTGAGCTGGAGCAACATCACGGGAGCATCCCTGCATCACCTCACCTGGATATCCCTGGTGTCAGCATGGGCTCTCCCTCCAAACCTAATGCTTGTGAGAGCTGCAGCACAACCAAGGTCCTGCAAGGCTTAATGTGTCTTGTACACACCCCTTGGCATCACAATTAACTCCTTTAGGGGCAGCCAAAGCCAGTAACATCAACTTTTCATTTCTTCTAGGCTTTCTAAGCCTAACTTGAGGTACCTACAGCAAACAAAAGCCACTCACAGGCTGGGCTGATGGGGAGAACCCACCAAACGCTGCTCCAGACAGAGCTCACTAAGAGCTGAGCAGTGCTATCACATACACTCACACCAGTGGTATAGAAGTGGGTTTGCCACCATGGCTCTCACCCCAACAGAGAACACACTACAGAGCTCACCAGTATTTCTCAGCACATTGAGCTGTAGAGCTTGCAAATAATATTCACACCTCCCCTCTCCCTCCCTTCCTCCTTCACTTCTCAAATGGATGCACTGGTCCCACTCAGTTCCAAACTTCAGGGCAGGATGCTAAACCCTTTCTATGAACCCTTCAGGATCAAATCAGGCTTGGAAGCCCCCCTCCTTTCAATGCACTGCTGGCAAGGAAGCAAGACTAAAGCTGCCACATGCAAACACTGCTGCAGCTCCTCTCTAGCCCTGGAAGCTGCTAAATGCAACTGCTTTGCCCTCCAGTGTCCACAGCCAGCACTGCACCCTTCAAAAGCCCAAATGCTGCTTCACTCAAAAGCATGCAGGAAAGCTTTGTGTTAGGCTTTTGCCCCACTAATTACAGCTAAGGAGGTACCAAAGGCTGAAAGCAACATGAGCAGGGGACTGAAGAGCCATATGGAAAGACTTCTTAACATAAAGAGCATCTTTTGTAATAACTATCAACACTACAGCTTCTGATGACTGACTTAGGACCCAAGAGTGCACTTACAAGGGGGTTTGGCAGATATTGAGGTACCCAGAAAAGCATCAGCTTGTCTGACCCCACAGGGCAAACTGCTTTGCAGGGACATTCCAAACCCACCTGGACCTGTTCCTGTATAACCTGCTCTAGGTGGCTAAAGGGTTGGACTGGACCATCTCCAGAGGTCCCTTCCAACCCGAATGGTTCTGTGTAATACAGAGCAAGCATCCTCCCCGCACAAAGGGAGGTGGAAGCACCTTAATTCTCCCCTTCAATTCTCAAATTAGGGGATTGGACCCCTAAATCAACAGAAAATGGATCCCTGCCTAACTCAGGCTGGAAGGGAACAGTCTCCACAGCCAGAAC